CGTGCACTACATCGAATGGGTCCACCGTTTTCATTGTTCGTGGGGGTAATTTCCTGTAATTCTGCTGTCCCCCATGCCGTTTGGCTCGTTTGCAGGTAAGACATTTCTTAGTGAACTCCACAATGCTTCTCGTCATTCCGGACCAGTAGAAAAATGGATTTCATCGTGTTAAATTGTCGCTTTGGTCCCGGCTGTATCAATTGGGTGTGGTAGCACTCCACCAATTCTTGACGTAGAGCCATAGGAATAACCACACGCTTTTGAAAAGCCAATAGACGGGCTCCCATCATGTTTTGGATCCGGTAGTCGGGATTATTCGTGCCATTCATACACGATTGAATCAAAGATTGAGTGACGTCATCCTCCGCTTGGTGTTGCTTGCTGTATTTTCCTTCAAGAACACAGGCAACGGGATCAATTAGCAAAGCTTCCATCTCAGCTTCACCATTAACTTCCTCGTCGTATGACATCCGTGAAAATGCATCTGCAGCTACATTATCCTTCCCTTGGACATGTTCACAGGTGATCTTGTACTCCGACAAAAGCAACTTCCACCTCTTCACTCGCAGCGAATTCTCCGTGGGATAAATGAGGTTCTTATGGTCCGTGTGTACCACAATGGAAACCCCAGCAACATCGTCCTATACTCCTTCAAAATCTCGATCACTGACAGCAACTCCAAATCCGTTGTTGTATAGTTCTGCTGAGTGGTCGTAAGACTTCTGGAGTAGCAAGCAATCAACTTTCCTTGTTGTTCTATAAGTCCACCTAATTGTTTTCCACTGGCATCTGCGTAGATGTCGAATGGTTTCTCGAAATTTGGAAAGGTTAACTACACGGCTTTCGCCAAAGCCCTCTTAATATCTTCGAAGGCTTCTTCTTCAACCGATGTTCATTGGAAGGTGGCCTTCGGAGATGTCAACTGCGTCAACGGCTTTAAGATAGTAGACTTGCCTGACACCATTTCACGATAGTAATTAATCATTCCCAGGAATCTCCGCAGTTTTCTCTTGTTCTTTTGGTCTTTTGATCTGAAGAATCGCTCGGATCTTCTTCTCCTGAAGCTTAATGCCTTCTGCGCTCACAGTGAAGCTCAGATATTCCACACTTGAGCAGAAAATGTGGCATTTCTTGCCGTTGAGGGTTACATTATACTCCGCCAACCGTGTGAATACCACTCGCAGATGTTCCACATGGTCTTCTGCCGTTTTAGAGAAAATGAGGATGTCATCCAAATAAACTATCACAAAGTCTAAATCGCCCAAAATTCTCGACATACACGCCTGGTATTCATCTGAAGCTGTTGATATTCCCGTTGGTAGCCGCTTGTACTGAAATTTACCAAGCGGAGTGCAAAAAGCAGTAACGCGTCTGCTTCCCTTGACCAGTTGCCTCGCATAATATCCCATGTTAGCATCCAGAGATGAGAAGAACTTTGCACCTCCCAGACGTATCAATACTTCTCGAATTAACGGCACATAGTACGGAATGCGCTTTAAGAACTTATTCAAAGCTCGAAAGTCTGTCAGCAACCGCAGCCGTCCGCCAGGCTTCTTCAAGAAGAAAGCAGGCGATGCCCACTCACTGTCAAAGATCTGCTCCAGCACATCCAGCACCCGTAAACGCTGGATCTCCTTTCGTGCAGTACCTTCTTCGCTTCTGGGTATGGATTACGGTCTTGATTGTATCGGTGTATACTGCTTCGCCATCGGCAAGATGTAGTCTGGAAACTTCATGCGCCCCAAGTGTCCATTATAGAGCTTTTTTAAAGCGGGTTAGCAGTTCGAGAATCTTCTCGTAGGTCTTCTGATCAATCTCCGCTGCACCCACCATGTTCTTCGGCTCAACCAACGTGTCGTTAATCTCCAGCCGCTCAAAATACTGGACGGTCTTCGGCATTGAGGTGAGATGAACTCCACTACGCTCATATGCCGTCTTCCACTCGTTCGGCAACGCCATCTTGAACGTGAGGATCAACGTCTGCTCATCCAACTCCAGAGCGTTAGATGGGAGGTTGGAGAGCATACACGTTATATTACGCATTCTCTGATGACAGTTCGCCACCGTTTCGCTCCTCTTCTTCGCAAAGAGGTATAACTCCTCCTCCAATCGCTCATGGTACATGCTGGGCACAAACATGTGTCCCCACGTCTTATAAACCGACTCGAACTCGTCCTTGTCGTCAACATTGACGCTTTCCGACACCACCTTCCAAGAGTTCAGCGCCTCATCGTCCAGCACTAAGTTCAAATGCAGAGCCTTCTCCTCCGAAGTCCACTTCTTCAACTCACAAATGTGCTCAAATTGCTTAATCCAGCGCAACCGATCTTGCGCTGTTCCGCCACTAAAGCGAGGGATACTGATCTTGATGAACTCCCGCTCATGACCAGTCTTCTTTTTCTTCGTTGTGATCAAAAAGGTCATCTTCGACGTCTCCACACCATCGTCGCTCATCTCTCTTACTTGGTTCCTTGCCTCCACAAGGTTGAGATATCTCAAAGTGGCAATCCTTGGCTCGCAGCGGGGGTCTCAGCAAGGATTTAAGCCTTGGTCGTGGCTTGCAGAGGACCGTAGCCTTTCTTGGCAAAAGAAGGAATGAAATATACTG